TTTCCTATAATTGTTCACAGAGGACACTGCAGTGCAAACCATGTCTGGTACCTCTATATATGCATTTAGATTATTGTTCGAAGTCCCTCCTTTTTTACACATTCTGCACACAAAATAGCTCACCCCTCACAGAATTTCCCGCCGAATTTTATGGATGGGGCGGGGCATAAAGTATCTTTTGTGCAAAATATGTAAAAAAGGAGGGACTTCAAATGTTAAAGCAAATGCATACATAGATGTACCAGACATGTTTTGTAGTGTCAGGTACTCTATTTTGTAATATGTGAAAGGGAAATCACAAATCGATTGTCAACAAAATACATGGCATGTTGAGAGATTGAGCTCGTGAGAGAGAGTTTCTCTCTCAAATTTGAATTTTTTTGGCTCTCTGGGGACTGGTAGTAAAGCAGGTAAAATTGTATGGGGAAAAATCATTTTTATTTAATTGTAGCTTGTTGAGCATTAATTTCCGGGAAAAAACTGAACGACAAAGCCCCTGACTAATTTCTTTAGGTTGTCGTTCACTTTTTTTGACCTGAATATGCACCGGAGGCGAATTATTCGCACTTCTCTCAATTTCTATGTGGGGATTTTTATCACTTCCTACCAGCGGAACAGCGCCATCTCTGTGGAAAATGGTCGAACAAAATGATTAATTCCCAATTATGATATCACATGAAAGTTATGTGAAATTCTAATGAATATTTTCCATTGGACATGTGATTTATTCTTTGAGTGTACACTCATAGTATCAAACTCTCATTTTTCTTTTGGCATTCCAACGAAAAAGAAAACGAGCATTACGTACAAACGTTGACGTTTATGTAAATATTACAATATTCAGTTGAAATTGTATAGTTGTACCACAGACAAACATTGAATATTTTTCAGTATAAGACATCGTCGTTAAAACATTATCGCCATCTGTTGAGTATACTGTGATGGGCAGTACGCTGAACAGATGGCGATAGTGTGTAAACGTCAAACGCAAGATAATTGACTATGCGCGTGGCGGTACTATCAACTAAAAATCATTTAAATTGACCGTTAAATGCGTGTTCGATGAACAAATTGTGAGTCTTATGTCTGTTTGTCTGTGGTTGTACTAACTATGTATTCTGCTTAGCTTTTCAAAGTCTTTATATACTGTTTGATGTATATACAATATACTCTTTAATCGGCAATTACGAACATGATTATCTGTTAGAAAAAGCTATTTTATAATTATTTAGACACAGTTCAACTTATGGTGCTTGCACGGTACGGTTAATTTGTCATTCGCTCATCCACGTCTCAACTCGCTCGGAGTGATAAAAACAGAAAATGTAGTTCTCGGAACAACTTCGGAAAATACTGAATCACTTTAGAGAAGTTCGGAATCACATTGGAAAGCACTGAATCACTGCAAGAAAGTTTGAAATCACTTCGGAAAGCATTGAACAGCTGTTATAGGCATATGTGTCCTACGGTCCATAAGGATTGCATAGAACATGAGATAGTTCACTTTGCACTTTGGAAACTACTGAATCAAGTAAAGAAAGTATTCAATCACATCAAGAAAGTTTGGAATTATTTCAGGATGAACTGAATCACGTCAGGAAAGTTTCCTCATTTTCCGGCAGATTTTTAAGGTTTTCCACAGGAAACCATGGGACAAATTTTACTCATCGCTGAGTTCCTGCACTTTTGGCGATTATGAGTGAACTAAACTCAAATTTGAGTCGTTCTCATTCGCCGTGTAGAGAGTTCGTTTGCTTCACCGGGGAGAACCACCCCGGTGCGCGGTGAAGATTTTGGTTGTTAGCTTGCTGCATACAAAGATTTTTTAAAGGTTACTTTTTCTATTAACGTACAACAGTATGTAGTCAATTGTTTTAAAATTTGGTAAAATAATAATGTACACATTTTGGAACTGCGAATACGGGAAGTGCATCAGCGCATCATTATTGAAATTTTTGCTTCAGTTTAGTCGACAGACAGACATGGGACAGAGATCGATTAGGATCACAGCGGGAGTTCCACAAGGCTCCATCTTTGGTCCAACGCTCTGGAACGGAATGTACAACGGCGTGCTAACGCTGAAGCTGCCCAAATGCGTTGAGATCGTTGGATTTGCGGACGACGTCGTCTTGACGGTAACAGGCGAGACGCTGGAAGAGGTGGAAGTGTTGGCGACCGAGGTGATCGACATAATTAGTAACTGGATGCAAGAAGCGAAGCTGCAGATAGCCCACCACAAAACTGAAGTGCTATTGGCCAGTAACTGTAAACCGGTGAAGCAACAGTCTCTCCAGTGGTGCCAGGATAAATCTCCGAGGAGACAAGCAGAGATTCACCCCAGAGAATGATATCTCTCGCACCCGAGTGATTCTCCCCTGAGAATTTTCAACCCTGCAAAATGTGTCGAAGCGACTACCGTAAAGTGCTATAATTCTGTGCTTTTTGTCAAAATTCTCGGTGTTCCCGGCGTATTCAGAAAGTAACGAAAGTATTCAGTAAATTTGGGAATTAAGATTGGTTTATGTGTTATATGTTAGAGTTATTAGATTACCAAGATTGGTTGAAGTTTAGAGTATTAGACTACGAATGGTACTCTGTTCAGAATTCCAAGAAATTTTTAAGATATAGTCCTAGGCAATTCTGAGGTGAATTCCAATGTATATTTGAGGAGAAGAAAGAAAGTTCTGAATTCCTAGGTTATTCTGAAGAGACTTGTATTTGAATCATGAGCACGATACCAGATGAATTTTACGGATAATTTAAAGTGATTTATTAAGAGAATGATAATTTCAAAGGAGTGCTGATTAAGTCTCAAAATATAACTTCAAGAGAATTCCGAAAAAAAATATCGGAAGGACATCAGCCAAATCCCAAAAAAGGAGCACAATTTAAATGAAATTGTTAGGAAAGTTCCAGCAAAAATTCAAAAGCATATTTCTGAGGCAAATTCCAGAGAATTTCTGAGGATCGTTTTGAGTTAAAAAAAAATGTTTCGAAGGATGTCAAGGGAATTTAATTATTAAAATATATAGCTTCAAGTGAATTTTAAGAAGAATTCTAAGATAATTTTTGGGATAATTTCTAGTGAATTCCAAAACAATTACGAGGAATTCTCTTAGGGAATTTACTGGCAAGTTTAAGGAGAATTTCAAAGTAATAAATACAGATGACGCCCCGCCAGTGGTGGATAAACTAGTTTTGCGGAATGAAGATTTTCGAAAAATCGTCGATTTCTCTTCAACCCTTGCTTCTAACGGTGAGAAAATTTCTACATTTTGTTCTTTTTAGTAATAGTAGCATTATGTAGAAATAATATATCGGACAAATTGCTCCATTATTGATGTGTTTAATTAAAAGTTAAGTTCGCCATACATTTTCCAACAGCCCAAACGATTGAAGGCTGCTTGCCCTCTGGTAGAGAGTGCTGTCAAATTCAGCATGAAACACCTAATTCTGAATATGATAAATTGATATTTTTTGACATACCGTGTCAAAAGAGCAGTTTTTCTTTCTGCTCGCAATGTTGAAGAACAGAACACTAAAAACAATACCTTTAAATTTATGATGAAAATTGGATTACATGTGCATCATGTTTAGACTAAACAAATACAAGAATAATGTATCACCATTGTTCTGATGTCTTATAAACAACTTATAACATAACATGTTACCACTCCTAGTTTTAATATGGCATTACCAAAAAATAATCTAATTAATCTAAAAAAATAATTTTCGATTTGAAATTGGTTGGAAACTAATTGTAAAACATAAAAGGATAAAGTTGAAATCTGCATTGCTCAGAAATCATGCCACTCTCTTAAGTTCAATTTCGTAAATAAGTTTGTACCGAAAATTAAAATTCAAATCAAAAAAATTAATTCAATGTTCGGATTTTATACTAATCTGGTTTGATCTCTCTTTGTGTATTGGAATATTCCGTCAAAACTTCACACGACCTTTGTAGTGGTCAAACGCCTAACAGAATATTAAGACCTGCTCCTGGATATAAAATAATGGCCCACACAAGAACTTCCGGCACGAAATCCTGCAGTACAATAAGTACATGCCTCGCCAATTCTCACACACAGTCAGATCTTCCTTTTCAAACATCTTCACAAGAACTCCCTGCATACATTCGGTCGGAAAAGTCGTGGTGCCCCAGTTGGTTGATGAAAATTGATGGTTTCAAAGTGTTCAAACCACCGTTTCAGCAAGTCACTGGGGTCAGCGTCTTTCACATCCATCTTTATGTTCATCCTTGTTCCACTCACGCGTTGTGAGATATCGTAGAGACGGAAATAGCCTTTGTCGGTCACGTAGTACTCCCATCCGTAAGAGCACTTAACTTGCTTCTCTATACGTCTAAGAGTATAGTTATCGTCCGCTCTATCGCAGCATATGCCTTACAATCTTTATTAAAGTTTAGATAGTGGTCCACTCTTTTCACTGAAAGCGATGCTGCTCAACTAGATTATTCTCGCTCGTCACGATCAAAGCATTCTCGATGGCCGTCCATTATTGTAATCCACTGCCGCTGCGTGGGTCCTTCAAGGAACGACCTCTTCACTGCTGGATCTTCTAGTCGAATCACCGACCAAGTTTCTCCTCCCATCGCCGGTATCTCCTAGATCAGAAGGTGATGGGGTAAGACGTTTCCATTTTCAGTGGTAGAATCGATTTTCGGTATGTTCATTGCGGGAAACTCACGTAACTTTAAGCACTAGTCGATGGATTGAAGAGCATGCAGATCTGAAAATTTGAATCGCTGCTTGCTTCTCTAACACTGAGTAGCATTGTCAGCTTCGAACATTAACTAGATCATCAGTTGTGTACCGAGAAAATAACTATTGAAACAAATTGTGAGAGAAACAGCTTCCGTAAACAACCTATGCTGACTATTTAAGCAAAATGCAACTTATCCTCTGGACATAAATTTAAAAGACACAAAGCAAAAACTCGAGGAAGACTCACGAAGTGCAGTAGGTAATGTATTCGATTTGTAACGCCACACTGTATTCTAATAAAATGTATTTTATATTTATTGTACGCTTAGATTTATAATCGACAAAGCAAAGACCTAACTTTATCTCCTATTAGACATGCTAATAAATAACGAGTACTGTTTGTTTCGTTGCTCTAGCATTAGAGCAAAGTAAAAATTTGGAAACATAATAGTAAGTCCCATCAAATGTACGCCATCAAATTTAAAAAATAATGTCTGTTAAATCAACGATATTTACCTTTGAATGGATAAACTCTTTTCGACACCGTTGCGAACCAGTCAATCGTCTCACGATAAATCAAACTCGGATTTCACCATCCGTCAACATGTGTACGGCTTTCTCTCTACTCAGACTGGGTGTATGCGTGTTGTGGGCGGTTCAGATGTTGCTTGATAAAACAAATAAAGCTATTTACATGCCACTTTACTGCACGCTGCTGCCGAATTAGGAAGCCGACAGTTCCACACAGGAGTTTTTCAGATTGACAAAATCTACCACGGCCAATAGAGTTTCAATGTCCTGGCTACCGTTCAGCTTGCAGGGTGCTCCCACCAGCTGGCAGTTCTTCCCGTCGACATTGATAAAGAATGTATCGTTCTTGAAAATGACCGCCCGGTCATACTGCAGATTGAACTTGCCCGGCGTAGCCGTCCGCCGTCGGAACATGATGTTGCAGGGTTCGTAGTTGCGTTTCTCCTCTTCGGAAATGGCGCGGTCTTCCACGTCGCCACTGAATACTTCCTCGTCATCGGCCGGGAGCACTTTCCGCTTGGTTAGAATGATCTTGTGGGACCACTCCGATGAGGGAAGCTGAATGTTGGCTGCCTCATTGCCAAGCCCAATCATGGACATGGCAAACGATGGCCGTTCCGGTTTGTTCTCAGTGTTTGGGATATTGATGACGTACCTGGCGGGAGAGGTTAAATGGTTTGAATGAATTAGCGCTGAACATCCTTCTCGGGTAAAAAGAGGGCATAGGCTACATACCATGTTTCATAGCATGTGATCTTCTTCATCTTGGGACTACTACCAGAGGAACTGGTTAGCGCAGAGATTGATCTTTGAACTGCTCCGCCGATCGGTTTATTCAAGGCATTCGACGTATTCCGTAGACCGGTCGATGCAACAATCGGCCGCGGAACAGTCTTGACCGGTGAACGTTTCACCGGTGATGATGGTGGAGAATCAGGCGTTACTATCAGTTTCACGTTGTTATCCGGATCCGTCAAATCAATCGAGTAGTGCTTGTTGCCGCTGTTTGCAACCAACTTAGCAAAGGGACGACTGTCGCCCAGTTTCATAGTTGAGTTAAGAATTCGAGGAGGATTCTTCTGAGGACTTGTCGAACCAGATCGGTTCAGGGTACTGGACGTAGCAAGTCGGCCATTGTTGTATTGTTTGTACACGTTGTTGTTGTTGTTGTTGTTCGAGGCCAGAGTTTTGACGCCCGTGGCCGCCGGGCTCTTGTTCACCGGTACCGTTTTCGTTTCGGAACGGGTAGAATTTTCATCCGAATTAGCAGGAGGTCTTCCACGACCTCGCATCACGGTAGGGCCGGCTACAATCTTCTGAACTTTGTTAGCGGTCACAATGTTGGTTTGCAACATGTCTTCAAAGTCGACTTCGTCATCGTTCGTCAGGTTGATAACCGACGCTTTTGAAACAGACTTTTCCCCTAGAGGCTGCTTTGCGGTTAAACTAAGTCGTCCTTTCTTGGAAGGTCGGTTTATCCGAAGATGATCCAAATTGATCGGTCGTTTCCGTTCCAAAATCGTTGCCACTAATTGGTTGTTGGTCTTGGGTTTTTCCGCAGAGCTTGCCTTCGGGACGAGATAATCGTCCGAAGAGTCACTATCGGAAGATGAATAATCGTCTTCTTGGGGACTTTTACGGCTGATTCCTACTTTCCGTACATCGGGCGTACTGGCAGCCTTTTTCTTCAAGATATCGCCAATGCTCACGATCCGGATAGTTGCTTTATCGGCCGTGCTTTTACCAGATCCTTTGCGATCATTTTCCGGAGAGCGGATTGGATCGACGAGATTCACTTCGGATTTGCTCTTCTTCTCCCCCAGAGCTCCGATAGTCGGTTTTGGTGTTGACTGGGCAATCGGCTTCGGCAACACTTTGGAGGCTGGTGTTTGTATTGGCTTCAAACCAAGAGGCCGGCCACTTGTCTTCGCTTTGTCCAGAGCCGGTAAACTAATCGACTTGCTCATAGTACCTTTGCTTACCTCCGACGAATCCTTCGCTAGCTTGGTAGGAGCAGACGAATCTTTTGCTTTTACAGACGTGTTCTGCGGAGATGAAGCAGCTGAACCCTTATCGGAGAGCAAACTGGACCGAGTGTTTCTACGGACCGGCTCATCCTCGCTATCTGTGTCATCATCATTGGAATCCAATGTGATGGAAAGTTTGGCTTCCTTTGGAGGACGCCCCCTTTTAGCTGGCTGCGCTTTATGTCCACTATCTTCTGCGCTGGAATCTGCAGCGACTTTACGCTTCGGTCCGGCAGTGACAACCGGTGGTGGGGTAGGCCTGCTGGCAACTACTGCTTTGCCTACTTTTCTAGCAAGAGGCGAGATTTGTTTAGCAATCAAAGGACTCTTCCGCAGGGATTTCCTACCGACATTCGGACCCGTCTCACGACTGACCCCGACAATCTGAACATCATCATCATCATCATCATCATCATCGTCGTCGTCGTCCGTTGGAAACTGCGGCGAATCTTCCGGTTTTTTGTATCGTTTATCCAGGATTGACTTCTCCACTTTTTGCTTCTGCATAGCAACCGGATTGATAAACTTCTTGGGAATGACCGAATCCTGTTTGGGAGATGATTCCTCCGGTTGCTTCCTCCTGAATAGTAGGTTTCTGGGTTTCTCTTTCTCTTCCGTTACTTTCATCGGAGCGAGTTTTTCCTTTTCCGGCTTTTCGGGTTCTTTAGCCTTACCCAACATTCTTAGTTTCGGCTTTTCAGGATGTTTTTCTGGTTGCTTCTCCGGTTGCTTTACCGGTGGTTTACCCCTAATCGGTGTTTTATCTAAATAGAAAAGAACAAACTGAAATGTAGCAAATGACTTCCATAAAAACGACATAAAATCAAACCTTTCACAAGCGATGTATCCAAGTCAAGCTTCCTCTTGATATCCTTGTTGATGGGCGTCAGCACGACCCGAGCCTTGCCCATGTTCAGCATGCTCAAATCCATCTTTTTCAAAACTTCTTTCCTCAAATTTTTAACTGGCTCCGTCTTTGTAAGCCCCTTCGGTGGCCGTCCCCGTGGCCTTCCTGTCGAGGTGGCTGCTGGTGCTGGTTTCTTCGCCGCAGCTACCCCGGTACTCCTCCTACCGACAGCCCACTTCGGTGGCATGACCTCGTCATCGTCGTCCTCCTCCTGGTTGTAGTCATCTTCGCTGGCGTCGCTGTCCGGGCTGCTCGAGCGCGTGGAAGTCGTGGCCAGCACCACGCTGTCGTTCAGATACTTACGATTGGGTTTGATGGTGCGCCGCGAACGACCAGCCGTCAGGGTTATTGACGCCTCAGCCGGTGGAGAGGGCTCTTCCTTTTTCTTCATCCGAGGCATCTTAGTTGAAGGCGTTTACACTGTGGATGCGATTTTATTCTGAAAGAAGAAACGAACAATGTATAAAGTGCCATAATTTCACGCATCTAAGTCCCTAATTTCACGAAGTTTTCAAAAAAAAAAAAATCTTAAATAATGTGGTCAGTATTAGGAGATGCATCGAATATTTGGGTTCAAGATTTAGGTCTAATTTTCGACCTAGTGTTTAAAGAGTCACAAATTCCATTCCGTAGTTTGTTGTAACTGTCGGCTTCGATCAAGCGTTTCAAGACCAAGCAGACGGCATCTATCGGGATACGCAGGATGGTTAGATTCCTGAGGGCAAACTGTATGAACCTTTTTTTGGACTCGCACGATTCTTAGGTTCAATTTCACAAGGGAACAACATAGCGCTTTTAGGCATTGTGGATCCGTGAAATCCTTGGTAATTTTGGAGATAAAGCCAAGTTGACGGTTTGCCTTGGAAATAATCGACGCATATTCATAAATTATCGGGTCTTTGGAACGATGGAAGGTCATTACGTGACATTTCGCGATGCTGATGGCAAGTATATTCGAGCAACACCAGTGCACAAACATGTTGAGCAATATTTGCAGGTGATGACAATCCTCGTAGATCTTAAGATCAACAGCATATATGAGCATGCACCTATAGCCAAGTGAAGATGCAACGTCATTGCAAAATATGTCAAATTACTATATATATTACATTGCAAAATATGTCAAATTACTATTTGACATATTTTGCAATGACGTTGCATCTTCACTTGGCTATAGGTGCATGCTCATATATGCTGTTGATCTTAAGATCTACGAGGATTGTCATCACCTGCAAATATTGCTCAACATGTTTGTGCACTGGTGTTGCTCGAATATACTTGCCATCAGCATCGCGAAATGTCACGTAATGACCTTCCATCGTTCCAAAGACCCGATAATTTACGGCCCCAAATCGCTTCCTTGTGGGACGCCGGACGTGCCAGTCAGGTACGATGAAAACCATGACACCAGTCTATTCGAGGCTCCCAATCGTGATAATTTGCTGAGTAACATTTTGTGATCGATTCTGTTTCTTCCATAGCTGTAAAACAGGTGGTAGTTAGATCCATCAAATTAGTAGCTACGGGCCTGCCGGGAATGAATCTATGTTGATGGATCGAGATTGTAGCACGCACAATATGATCGCTGGCGAAATTACTAAGCATTTTTCCAATGGCCAAATTTTATAGAAACTAAACGATCGTTGCCCGAGTGATGCCCCGTAACGTGGTTGGACCACCGATTCCTAGTCCTGACTACTTCAAACTAGGGGAACAGGGTTTTTCAGTAATCAAAGGAACACATCAAGTCCTTGTTACTTTTTATGCCTCGTTGCTGGTGACAAGACTCGGCTTTGTTCACCGAGGATGATCTTGAAACAAGGAAAAAATGAGTTAGTTAGCCTTCATCTATGTGATTCCTAATCTCCTATTCGTTGTTCTCTAGTTTGAAGGGTTCTGGGGTTCTATGTATGGTCATTGTCGGTGTCATTGCTTAATTTAAACCTTAAACAAAAATGGCGTCCAAAAATTACCGTTTAGAGATAAGCTTTTTTTCAGCAGAATTGCTCTACAGTACGTCTACTTTGATGAAAAAATATGAGATGAGATTTGCATTAATATGTTGATGATCTATATCTCCAAAATCTCATGGAATCATGAATTCGTATAAAATCAAAGAGTTTCACTGCAAAAATGATCCCAAATTATGTTTTGGTATGTCGGAAAAAGCAAGATCTGAGCAGGAGAAACGCAGAGATAAAAAAGTCCTTCAAATCTTCCTGGAGTTACGATCTTAAAGTTACATACATTTATTTGTACAACATCATTATGTTGATGTCGTCCGCAAAGCACACAAATTGACCGGATTTCGTGAAAATCGTACCCCGGCTCGTCGCATTACACCTTCTAGAGCGATGTTGAAGAGAAGGCAGAAGAGTCCGTCACCTTGTCGCAGTCCCCGGCGAGATTCGAATGAACTGGATAGTTCACCCGAAACCCTTACGCAGTTTTACACACCGCCCATCGTTGCTTTGCTCAGTCTGATCAGCTTCCCAGGAAAGCCGTTCTCGTCCATGATTTTCCATAGCTCTGTGCGGTCGATACTGTCGTATGCCGCCTTAAAGTCGATGAACAAATGATGCGTTGGGACCTGGTATTCACGGCATTTCTGGAGGATTTGCCGTACGGTGAATATCTGGTCCGTTGTCGATGAAGCCGGCTTGATAACTTCCCACGAGCTCGGTCATTTTAGGTGATAGACGACGGAAAATGATCATTGTAGGCGGCATTCAAAATGGTGATCGCTCTGAAGTTCTCACATTCCAAATGGTCGCCTTTCTTGTGAATGGGGCAGATAACCCCCTCCTTCCATGATCTTAAAGTTCTATAAGCCAAATAACATTTTGTGCAATACAAAGATGTGTTACCAAAATATTTATCATTCTCAAAATTATCCTGGCGATATTTTACAGGTTAATCGAATCTTGATCGATGTCCACTCAGAATTTTTGAGCATTGTATGCTTCACGGAGTCTCATAACAGCATTTAAAATTATTAATTGTGTTTAAAAAATAGCATTACTGGATTATCCAAATCATTCCGGACTTAACGAAGAAAACTAAATTCTTTGATATTCCCTGATTTTCCAGTCTTTTTTCAGGTATAAATAATCATTCACATCAACTAAAGCAGTAACCGAATGAAACCTGAATGAAACCTCAAATGAAACTGCAATCCTTTTTATATCAATCAGCTTGCTATCTTTCAATCTACAAGAACTTAATAATCTTAATCATAAGCCGATCGGCTTAATCCCAATAACATGCATTTTCATCACTAGCTTGATCGCCAGAATGTGTTCCACAAGTTTATGATCCCCTTATTTTTCCTCAACTTACTCCATTCCCTCTCCTTGACATGTCAATTTCCTCACCCTTATTAGTTCTTTTTCAGACTGTTTCTGGACTGTCCGCGTATGAAACATTTGTCTTTATTCCCCCGCTATAAAATATATTCCCCGTGCACACTTCAATGCCCATCTCAGCTCCGTTGAACATTTATTTTATTTATTTATCACCGTCTTCGACTAGTCGTACAGACTGAACTATTTTTACTTATAAACTAGAAATTACTACTAATCCTATTTCTAAAAACGTTTTTAGTCAAGTTAAAATCGAATTCGTCACAGACAACATTGAACAAGCGAAGACACGAATCGAAAGGGTTGTTGTAGCCGTAGTTTGTTCTGTGGTATGGGACTGCTATTAAAGCTGAGCTCCGAAACCGTCGAGGAGGAATGTTGAGCGGGATCTGTGCGAGAAGTTCAGGGCAATCTATAGATCCTCCAATGACATCGACAATAAATAGCCGCTGCATCGTTACTCGTCTGACAGATAGTGGTTCCAATCCTATGAGCTTGCATCGGTCAGAATAAGGAGGAAGATTGGTTGGATCGTTCCAAAGAAGGTGTCTCAGTGCAAACCGTAAGAACCTTTTCTGCACCCGTTCAATCGTGAGAACATGAGCTACATAATAAGGGGACCAAACCGGAGCAGCGTACTCCAGAACGCTACGAACCAACGAGCAATAGAGAGTTTTTGAAGCGTGGATGTCGGTAAACTCGGAAGTGTGGCGACGGATGAATCCCAGCACAGAAAAAGCTTTGGCAGTGGTAATGCTCACGTGTTCGTTGAATCTGAGCCTCGAATCGATGGTAACGCCAAGGTCACATATGGACGACACACGTTCCAATGATGCAGCTTCCATTCTGTATTGATGAAGAATGGGATTATTGCAGCGACCGAAGGTAATAACTTTGCACTTTATGTTATTGACCCGCATGCCATTATCGCCACACCATGTTATGGATAACACGTTAAACCAAACGCTTGATCGCAGCAGGATACCTCCGGTGGGAAATCGTTCACAAGCACGTATTGCACATCCCAGCCTAAGGGGTTAGACAACTTTACTCTGAGCTGCTTTTTTACAGCGAGTAACTCACGAGTAATTTAATGTACTCGACGTTTATTAATTTTTCTCTCTGCTTACTCTGTTTACTACCTTTGTAAATATGCGTCTCATATTAGACGTCAGTTTTTTTGTAAACATAGTAAAATTGATCAGATCGGCTATTGAAACGATGTGGATGCCAGTACCACTTGGATCAATAGGCGTTTGTCCGGAAAATGGCTCGAACGATACTGGGAAAGCTTCCAAAAGGGGCCAACGTCACCAGTGCATTGGCATGGAATTTCATCTGATTCTCTGTGGTGATTGCCAGGTGCTGCTGCTGTAACTATTTTGGAAGTACTGTTTGTTCGTACTCCTTCGTCTCGAAAAGTTTTATGTGAATTAACTGCACACTTAATCTAGCTCGGTAAAATCTCCAACAGCCGATTAACTCGGCATTTACTTTTGCTGATATCTCTGCAAAATATCTGTTTATTAGCTGATATCTCAGCTAAATGTTATTTGTTAGCTGAGTCTCGGCAATTGTTTTACTGAAGCTCAGCAAAATAAATTGCAGAATTCCGGAGAACTTTGAGAGTATTTATTTCCATTTCGGTTGGGTGTAATTGCTGTTGTAAACAAACATGTCAGTCGCCAATTTCTCGGGAATAAAAGCCAAATCTCGGAATCAAATTACACCACATGCTAGATGAATCATTCCTTTACCTGTTTGTGTTGTTAATTTTCTAGACTGAGCTTTTATTCGCAAGAAATCGTCAAGTGAAGCGTTTATTTACAAAATCAATTACGCCCAAATCTCAAATCACTCCGGAATTACTCGGCTGTTGGAATCTTTGCGAAAATTTTTAAGTGTGTGAAGGTAGGCTATTTGTTCTCGTAAAATAACCAAGGGAATCCCAACCGAGGAGAACGTGCAATCGTTGCGGGAAATCACCCGTATATAAGAGGCAACAACCGATTAACACCCAATTCCCAATTCAAGTTCCGAAGGCAACGCTTCGAACCATTACCCCCGCAATGTTCAG